GTAGGGGTGGGGAAGAAATATTTGGAAAACAAGCATAAGGAAGACTCTCAGGACATGTGAGTAAAGAGTTGCTTGAGGTCAGATCATAAGCAATCAAGACCAGGAATCATCATTGTTTTGTTAGGTAGAAAGGGAGGTTTTAGAGAACAGTGATTTGGCCAGATCCATAGAAGATAAATCTTCAGGACTGCATTGAAAAAAGAATGGAGGAGGCAGGAAATGTTCTAGTTCTCCTGCAACAGTTCCTGGGGTGTCAAACAGGGTCCTTCCTGGCAGGGGAATAAAAAAAAATGAGTTGCCATTAAGGGGATTCTGCCTTATGGCGATCCCATATATGTCTGAGTAGAATTGCGTTCCATAGAGTTTTAATGGTGGAGTTTTCAGAAGTAGATGACTAGGTTTTTCTTGTGAGAAGCTTCTGTGCGGACTGTAACGTCTAACCTTTTGGTTATGGCACCCAGGACTCCAGTAGAAATAGGGAGCAGACAAACTGGGTAATTGATGAAAGATCAGTAAAGAAAATATGAGGGTGAATGCTCCTTGAAGGCGAGGAAGGCAAGACTTTGGACATGTTGTCAGAGGGACCAGTCCTTGGAGAAGGTTATCAAGCTTGGTAAAGTGGAGGGTCAGCAAAAAAGACCCTCACTGAGATGGAGTAACACAGTGGCAGCAGCAATGATTTCAAATGTAATAATTCTGAAGACGGCACAGGACTGGGCAGAGTTTTATTCTGTTGAGAATAGCTTTCTATAAATGAGAGTCAACTCAACAGCACCAAACAAAAAACAATACAAAGAAAAAGGCAACCATGATGGAGAGTCATAGTCATCCCAGGCCTGCAGGACCAGGACAGCATCGGAGGAGCCCCGAGAGGGTGGCTGCACTGAAAGGGCTGCCTGATAGCACCAGCAAGCCCACCCCCCAACCCAGATAGTCTGCAGAGGACTGGCTATGCACAGCCACCTCTCTCTTCACACCCTCTGACCTTCTCCCAATGCCTCCCACTGGTCAGACCCAGTTGGAAGCTGGGGACAGAGTTGAGTGGAGAGAGAATCAGACAAAGTAGATAGAAGGTGTACAGTGTAAGGGGACAGTGGTAAAATCATGGCAGTGGGAATGGAAAAGGATATAATATAGACACAAATTTAACCGGATGTATTTGGAGGTGGAGGTAGAGAGGGATTCAGATGACTTCATAGTTTGAAGCCTGAGTCACTAGACTAGAATGATGATAACATCAACTGAGCCTATTTTTACAAACCACTGTAGTCCCCAAAGCAATCTTTAGGTGGTACAAATGGTTAACATGCAGACTACTGACCAAAAGGTCACGGGGCTAAATTCATCCAGAGGCCCCTCAGAATAAAGTCCTGGCAATCTACTTTTGAAATATCAGCCATTGAAAACCATGTCAAACATAGTTCTACTCTAACACAAGGCAACTCAGCAACTCTTACTTTTGGACAGGCGGGAGAGGAGAGTGAGGGAGCTATTTCTCAATACCCAGCCCTGTGCCTCAGGTGACATCAAACGCCTTCAATAATTGTATGTTGGAAAAAAAAAACACATGAGTGGATGGAAGGAGAGAGGAAAAGCAAATTTGAGAGACGATTTGTTACATAGTTTTAGACACAGTGAGTTTAGAGTAAGAGCTCTGATGATGCAGTGATTAAGCACTCTCCTGCTAAGCAAGAGGTTAGCAGTCTAAACCCACTAGTCTCTCCAGAGGAGAAAGACATGCTAGGCTGCTCCCATAAGATTTATGGCCTTGGAAACTCTCAGGGACAGTTTTACTCTGCCCTGCAGGGTTACTATGGGTCAGAATGGGCTCCACAGGAATGAGTTTGGGCTTTTGAAGTTTAGAGTAGGGTGGAAGTGCCCCTAAGAAAACAGTAAAGATGTATCAGGACCTCTGGTGGTACAATGGCTAACGTGCTGAAAGCTGGAGCTTCTAGTCCTTCCAGAGGTTCCTAGGAAGAAAGGCCTGGCACTCTCCTTCTAAGAAAATCACCACTGAAAACTCTGTGAAGTATAGTTCTACTCTGACACACACAGGGTCACTGTGAGTCACAATCTACTCAGGGGCAACAAGCTTTTTGTTTGTTACTTTTAAAGATGTATCTCTAAGAACCATCTACACAAAAGTAGCAACAGAAACCACGTGAATGAAATAGCAAAGAGAGCTAAATCCTACCTAGCTGCACATCCTATTAAAGGTCTAATCACACTCTATAGTACCCCTTTCTTCCCCAGTGTTGCATAAGGTTCTATATCTTTGTACTGAAGGTTGGGCACATAGTAGCTAGTCAATAAAATTTTTTGTTGAGTGAACGAATTAATCAGAAGCCAAGTCAAGACCAGAGCAATCATATCCATAATCTTACTTCTCTCCTATGGCAAACTGCAAAAGCTCTAAGATTCAAAGCAGTTCCTTAATGTGACCTTTGACCTAACCGTCACCCCATGGGATGACTAGTAGTTAAGGCTTAGTGCAGAAAGAAAACCAACAAATTCTAAATTTCTTTAATTTGGGTAACAGGAAGATAGGACAATCTATTATAATGCCTGACACATAAATTCTGCTCAGTAAATGTTTGATGAATGAATGAACAAAGAAGAATTGAGGAAAGATCATGAGCTCAAGAGAACAAACTAGCTAACATTTACTGAGTGCTCGCCAAATGCTAAGGGGCTCTTGGTACAGCGCTGTAGGATAAGCAATGTACCGCTAACAGCAAGGCCAGTAGTTCAAACCCACCAGCCACTCCTCAGAATTCCTATACAGGGTCACTCTGAGTCAGAGCTGACTCAATGGCACTTGACAATAACCATGTACTAAGGAGCCCTGTAGTGCTGTGAGTTAGGCCTTGGGCTGCTAACTACAAAGTCACAGTAATTCAAACCCATCAGCTGCTTCTCCAAATCCCCATAGGGTCACTATGAGGTTGAAATGACTTAATGGTCATGGGTTTGGATTTTGGTTCCTATGTACCAGTAATAAATGATTCATATTTTTTAAAGTGTCACTATTTGATCCTTTTTAAAAACCCCAAGGTAATCACATTTTGCAGATGATTTAGATTTAGTAATTTCTTAGTGAAGACATTATGCTTAATAGAGTCTCCTCGGCAAAAAAGGAGACTCTCAATGAAATTAATTGATGTAGTGGCTTCAACAATGAGTTTAAACTTACTATTAGGAGGATCAGGAAACAGACCTTGCAGTTTAAACCAGCCTTGCAGCCTATGCTTATCATACAGCATCACACCAGGATTTGAATTAGTGGGATTAGTATTAGTATTAGACTAACATTCATTGAGCACTACTCTAATCTTACAGGGCCTAGTCTAATCCTCCTTTGGGGTATATTAGCTTTGAAACAAACAGTCCTAGGAGGTAGGTACTGCTATTATCATCATGTTGTTGTTAAGTGTCACTGAGTCAGTTCCAACCCATAGTGACACTTTATGAGATTTCCGAGGAGCAGCTGGTGAGGTTGAGTCGCAGACCTCGTGGATCAAGTTTACTTTGCAGTCCAGAGCATTAACGCACAGCGCCACACATTTTACAGGTTTTTAAAGAGGTCAAGCAAGTTAGATAGCCCAAGGTCAAATTAACTGGCAAAGTCAAGGCTGTCTAACTACAGAGCCCAGTGCTCTTTATCTACAAGACTGGGGGCCCAGGAGCCAAGTGCCATCCATTTACCTGCTCACTGGACTTGGAACCCAGGGAAAGACCTGCTTGCTCACAGGCAGAAGTAACACAACTTCTGCACTAAGATTTACATTTCTCTGGGATATGTCCACACCTTAGACCTTGTGAGCAAGTGGTTGTTAGTTGTTTTTGTGTGCCTTCAAGTCAGATCCGACTCATAGTGACACGGTATAGGGTTTCCGAGAGCAGCTGGTGGGTTTGAATTGTCCATCTTGCAGTTAGTTGTTGTTAAGTGCCGTCGAGTCAGTTTCGACCCATAGAGACCCGTATAGGGCAGCTAGTGACCTTAGTCCAGTGCTTGTTATGTGCCGTGGAGTCTGTTCCGACTCATAGTGACCCTGTACAGGGTTTCTGAGGCTGTAAATCTTTACAGGAGCAGAAAGCCTCATCTTTCTCCCGTGGAACAGCTGGTAGTTTCGAACTGCTGACCTTGTGGTCGCAGCCCGATTCGTAACCACTATGCTACCAGAGCTCCTTGTCCAGTGCACATCCAACAGAAATTCCGACTCTTAGCGATCCTGTATAGGGTTTCCAAGAAGCGGCTGGTGGGTTTGAACTGCCGACCTTGTGATTCACAGTCCAGTGCTTATCGTATAGCTCTGGTTAGGACACAGAATAACTGGGTAGCTAAAAAGCTTTGTTGTTGTTAGGTGCCTAGCCAGTTCATATTCATCGCGACCCTTTGCACAACAGAACGAAACACTGCACGATGCTGAGCTATCCTCACAATTGTTTGAGCCCATTGTGGATGCCACTGTGTCAATCCATCTTGTTGAGGGTCTTCCTCTTTTCCCAGACCCTCCACTTTACCAAGCATGATGTCTTCTCCAAATACTGGTCCTTCCTGACAACATGTCCAAAGTAGGAGAGATACGTTCGCTTCCTTTGCTTCCAACCTTTACAGAGTTTTTAACCATAATTTGTAACTCAGTACTTCCGGGATCCCCTAAATCTACGCCCCAGTAATTGGCCCCGCCCCGCATCCTGGGAGTCGCAGTCCAGGTCCCGCTCTGAATTTGGGTGTCTGAGCGCCTAACGTCAGCTCCGCCTACATCCGGGCGCGAGCCAAAAGAGCTCGCCTTTAACGTCATAAACTCTCCAACACCGCCCTCTGCCGGATTTTGGAGACACAGTCACCCAGACTAAAGACTAGTTCCGGATGCTCCGGAAGTGAACCTTTCTTTTCCGGGCTTAGCGTCTGGGTGTCCACACGTGGATGTTGCTTGGTTTGAATCCGCGCTGGTGAAGTAAATTGAGCCGGTAACCCCCCCACCCCCCAAAAGCGAGTGAACCGACCCAGAGCCATGGAGGGTCAGAGCGTAGAGGAGCTCCTGGCAAAGGCAGAGCTGGACGAGGCGGAAAAGCTGAGACGTATCACGGTGCATAAGGAACTGGAACTGGAGTTTGACCTAGGCAACTTGCTGGCCTCGGATCGGAACCCCCCAACCGGACTGCGGTGCGCGGGACCCACATTGGATGCCGAGCTGCGGAGCCTGGCGCGGGACAACATGCAGCTGATCATCAACCAGCTGTGGCAGTTGCCCACGGAGCGCGTGGAGGAGGCGCTGGTGGCCCGGCTGCTAGAACCCACTACCCGCCTGCCTCCCGAGAAGCCGGTGCCTAGGCCGCGACCGCTGATGTGCTGGCAGCAGTTCGCGCGGCTGAAAGGCATCCGACCCAAGAAGAAGACCAATCTGGTGTGGGACGAGGTGAGCGGCCAGTGGCGGCGCCGTTGGGGCTACCAGCGCGCCCGGGACGACACCAAGGAATGGCTGATCGAGGTGCCCGGCGGAGCCGACCCCCTGGAGGACCAGTTCACCAAGCGGGTTCAGGCCAAGAAAGAACGGGTAGCCAAGAACGAATTGATCCGGCTGCGTAACCTGGCCCGTGCGCACAAGACGCAGCTGCCCAACGCGGCCGGCCTGCACCCCACGGAACACCAGAGCAAAGAAGAGCTGGGCCGCGCCATGCAAGTAGCCAAGGTCTCCACCGCTTCGGTGGGACGCTTCCAGGAGCGCCTGCCCAAGGCTCCTCATGGCGCTGGTAAGAAGAGGCAATTCCAGCCCCTGTTCGGGGACTTTGCAGCCGAGAAGAAGAATCAGTTGGAGCTGCTGAGAGTTATGAGCAGCAAAAAGCCTCAACTGGACATTATCAGGGCCACCAATAAGCAGCTGAGGGAGGAGGACCAGGAGGAGGCCGCCAAGAGGAGAAAACTGAGTCAGAAGGGCAAGAGAAAGGGGGGGCGCCAGGGGCCTGGGAGCAAGAGGAAAGGGGGCCCGCCCAACCAGGGAGGAAAGAGAAAAGGAGGCTTTGGAGGCCAGATGAGTTCCGGGCCGCCTGGCTTGGGTGGCAAGAGGAAAGGAGGGCGGCAGCACCAAGGAGGAAAAAGGAGAAAGTAATCGCTTCACCTTTGGGTCGGCTTGATAAACCAAGAACTATGCTATAAACTTTAAGTTCAAGTTCTAATAGCAGGGTGGCAGTTGCTGTCATTGAATATGAGGTTGAAGGGACAGGTTGTCCGTCCCCCCCCCAAGAGAGTAATTGAGTATTGGACTCTATAAATGATCTTGCTTTTTCACATTTGAGGCTTTGCTGAAGTTTAAAGGATGTATTTGAAAGCATAAAAATTAGGGTAAGAGTTTACAGGAAAGTGAGAATGAGTCTGTAACAGCCTTCCTTTTTCCTTTTAAAACTTTGAATATGGGGTGAGGGAGGGTTGGTCATATGTCAGATTTGTCACTGATTTCTGCATTTCTGTAGTATAGCAGGCTTGTGAAGTCATCAAAGCGTGGGGAAAGGAGAGATACAAACATTGTCAAAACTGGACTTTATTACAAAGGTTATTTAATAAAGCTAACTATATATCAAGTCTTGCTTTTAACTTTACTTTTGAGACATAACAAGTGAAGCCTGTGATCTGGATACCAGACATAGATTATTTACTTTAAAAAAAAAAAAACCCACGAAAACATAAAGCTGCTGTATTATGGTTTCAGAGACCACTTTACTTAGAAAAACTCATTTGCTTTGTTTGCAAATATTTTTTAAGGTAAATTACTACTGGTATTTGTTTGAAATATGTTACTTTTTGACACTTTGAAAACATTAGTTTTTCTATAAATGGTCAATTTAGGCCTCATTAAATTGTAATAATTCATATTAATCCCCAAAATAATTAAATCTATTAATATGTGTGTCCCCAGTTATTTTGGTTTTTATTTCTATTTGCTTGGTGTTACGTAGGGAACCAGAGAAAAAGACCCACAAAATCTTTAATTAGATCGTTATATTTCTGTTTATCTGTCAAATGGACCTGAGCTGGTTTGCTAAGGGAGTCCCTGAGTGGTGTACTCAACTGCTAACCAAAAGGTTGGAGTTTCTAGTACACCAGAGGCACCCTGGAAGAAAGGCTTGTCTGAAAACCCAGTCATGGTTTTTTCTTAAACCATTAGACTTGCTCCCATGGCAGCTGGTGGTAGTTGTTTGATTAGTAGGTGTAGGTGTGCTGATGCTTTACTGCCCATCTAACTCCTTTCTAATAAACATCTGAAAAGGAATTAGAGTTAATTTACAGCTCAGTCCTGGTGTGGGGTGCTGTGGGTTAATGAGCTTGACTGCAAAGTCAGTGGTTCAAGCTCACCAGCTGCTCCTCGGAAACCCTTATCTATACAGGGTCACTATGGGTTGGTACCAACCGGATGGCAATTAACAACGTAGAACAGAGCCACACTGCTCGTTTTGTTTGATAAGAAAAGTGAATTAATTCTACCTTCACTTTTTCAGTGTTGTATATTACAAAGGTACTTTTAGAAATTTCTATTTTAAAGAATTCAAATTTCAGTATTGATGTGTCACAACAGGTTATTAAAAACAAAGACGTTCAGATGTTACTGTCTTCAGATACTCTGATTAAAGTGAGTTTTTTGTTGTTTTTTTAATTACTATCCTTAACTATTCCTGAGAAATGATGACTGGCACTATGGAGTCCTCCGAATATGTGTGATTATGGAAAGGTTACAAGTTCACGAAAAGCTAAGCAGTTCATGGTACGATTATAAACACCTTATAAATTATTCCCAACTGGGTTCTGGTTTGGGATTTGGGTGTTTTTGGTGGGTCTGATCTTTAGACTTTCGTGATTTAGCGGTGGGATCCTATCACTGACCTTTGTTGTTATGTGCCGTGGAGTCGGTTCCGACTGATAGCGACTCTGTATAGGGTTTCCGAGGCTGTAAATCTTTACGGGAGCAGAAAGCCTTATCTTTCTCCAGAGGAACAGCTTGGTAGTTAGACTGGCCTTTAAAACGGTTTAAATCCAGTGTCCTAGTGTGGCGATGTGAGTTAATATGCCAAACTGTAAAGCCGTTTTGAACTGCAAGGTCGGTGGTTTAAGCTCACCAGCTGCTCCTAGGAAACCCTATTTTACAGGATTGCTGTGGGTCAGAACCGACTCAACGGCACTTGACAATTTCACTCTAAGTCGCATTTTAAAGGATTCAGAGTGCAAAAAGAATACCCTGTTCATCCCCTTACCCAAGTCTGCATCTTTGATAAAAAGGAAAACTATTTTTTTCAAAGTACAGTTTATGTTACATTGTTTGGAATGCAGTAAATTCTGTGAGAAAACGGAGCACATTGTGCATTCCATTCAAGTATGTAAAATCAAAACAAAACAGAACTTGCACATTTTGAAACAACTCAAACGTATTCAGATTTTTTTCAGTGAATGAGAAAGTATAGTTTCTCTGCCGTGGTACATAAAGCGTAAAAGCCTTAAGAAAGTTAACATTGTGTTACAAGAACATAAACGTTTCCAAATACATTCTGAGAGAAAACAATGCAAGCTCTCAAATTCAAGTATATGAATAAAAAATGAAGGTGATTTGACAAGTTTTCCAATTACTGGAAAGTTCTTGCTTTTGGTTTCATGTACTGTAATACATGAAAATAGAGGTTTTTTAAAAGGCTTTTAGAAGTATCTAAGACTCGGCAGTTTTCTTCTATGATTATTTCACAGATACATGATGATACAGCACCTAGGCAATCCTGGTTTTTAAATCTGGAAAATGGTTTGAGCCATTGAGGGACTTGGCTCAGACACGTGACCTAGCAGAGCTGGTGGAGGCGGGCGGCGTGCTCGGGATTGGCTCGCGGTGGAGGTGGGGCTTCGGGGAGGATCGCTCGCGCTGCCATGGCCGCAGTCAGCCGGGCACGGGTCGCCTACTTGCTGAAGCAACTGCAGAGCGCAGCGTGAGTGCAGGGCCGGTGGGTGGGCAAAGGACCGGAGGACCCTACCGTGCCCACTGCAGTCACCCTGGGTGTGAGGGGTATTCTTCCTCCGATTACTCTCAAGAACTTGGGGGAGTGGATCCTGCAAATGCTCGCCCGCTCCATGCTGGGCGCGGCAGCGCTGGTCACCAAGTGTGCTGTGTGGCCTTAGGGCGGGGAGGCAGATAGTCCTGTGCCTGTTATACCGTTAAGGAAACTGAGGTCCAGATAGGACAGTGTCTTGCCCCACGTCGTCGCAGTCAGGAGAGAACTTGGCACAGTGACCGAAACATAATTTACTCATTCACCCATCACGTGTTTTTGGGGGGTGTATATTATGCGCTAGAAAACTACTGTAGATACTTGGATACAAAACTGCCTAGCTTTGTTCAAAGTCTGGGGAATCAAACGATGGGGTCTGTGCAACACACAGGGACAGAGGGTGTAGACAGGAAGGATGGACTTGAGAAATGACAGTTCTACCAAGCTGGTTCAGGAGGCGAAGGCCTGGTATGGCAAGTCTGATACCTCCTTCCAGAAATTCCTGAGACTTAACAAGCTGTCTGATGATTAGTTAAGCGTGCAAGTGCTGAAGTCTGTCCAATTAAAACATGGAAAAGAAAACCAAAGAGGAATTTCTTCAGCAGAAGGAGGAATAATAGCACCAGAGTCCTAGATGGAAACGAACTTGCAGCTCAGGGATCTAAAGGAGGTCCCTTCTTAAAAGGAGGTGAGGTTGAGGAGACAGTTGGTGAAGGACCAGAAACAAGAAAATAGCCCACACTTAATGGGCACTTGATGTGTCAGGCACTGTCCTACACATTTTACATGTACTGCTAACTAATTGTTGCAACAGCTCTATGAAATACTGGCATTTTCATGTTAAGTGCCTTCTTGTTAATTCCCACTCAAAGCAACCCTATATAGAATTACACCCGCTTTAAGTCTTTGCCAGAGCAGGAAGCCTCAGGTTTTTCCCTGGAGTGGCTGGTTGCTCCAGAAACTGTGTTTGTGGTTCCCAGTCTAGTGCTTATCCCATGGAGCCTCACCACCCTCTCCTATTTTCATATTACAAATAAATACTGACATGCAGGAAATAATCTATCCCATGATACACAGGTAAACAAGTGACACAGCCATAATTTGAACCCAGACATCTGGTTCACAGCCCTGATGCTCAGTTTATGCTAAGGAATTTGAGTTGTATCCTGAGTTAATGGAAGGCTATTGTACAGCTGTAGGATACGCACTGGATCACAAGGTCCGTTTGAACCACAAGGTCGGTGGCTCAAACTCACCAGCTCTCTTCTGACACTTCATACAGGGTCGCAGTGAGTTTTAACCAATTCAATGGCATTTAACAACAACATTGAAGCAGTTTTTTTCATGGTGAAACTCTAATATCTTGTGATGCCCTGTGGGGAGCCAGGGGGTGGGAAAATCTGTGGACAAATTAGTTTAGGAAGATGCATACTGCTTTTCCCACCTCTTTGAGAGTCAGGAATATATGAGGGGGCTTCAAAAGTTCATTCCATTTTCCATAAACTTTTTGAAGCCCCTTTATACATTAGCACAAGAAGGACTTTGAGAAGTCCTGGAAGGGGAGGGGTAGGGAAGTTTAGGTGTGGTTAAAGTTTGTTCTCACCTATGTCATCATAAAAAATAAAAAGCATTGTCCTCTAATCAGTTTAGAACCCAGAGCAAACAGGGTAGAACGGTTCCATAGGACCTGTCTTCTATGGTGCCACTAGCTGGCTGTGTTCCAACCACCAACCTTTAGGTTAATTGTTAATTAGATGCTGTCGATTCGGTTTTGACTCATAGTGGCCCTGATAGGGTTTGTGAGGAGCAGCTGGTGGATTTGAACCATCAATCTTGTGGTTAGCAGTCCATTGCATATCCTAAAGCATCACATCAGGACTCTGTTACATTAGTTGTTATTGTTATTGTTAGGTGCCATCGAGTTGGTACCGACTCATAGCAACCTTATGCACAGCAGAATGAAACACTGCCCGATCCTGGGCCAACCTCACTACTGTTGCCACGCTTGAGTCCATCAATGCTGCCACATGGCCAATCCGTCTCGTTGGGAGTCTTCCTCTTTTTTTCTCAACCTCCACCTTACCAAACATGATATGCTTCTCCAGCAACTGGTCACTCCTGACAATATGTCCAAAGTATGAGAGACGAAGTTTAGACATCCTGGCCTCCAAGGAGAACTCTGGCTGCACTTCTTCCAACAGGCTTCCTTTGGCAGCCCATTTGAAGGCTTTTTCGTCATAGAACTCTTTATTCAAGCAACATCATTGGTATCCCTGGAAGCAGTGTAACACCGAGTATGTTATTGGAATTGTTGCATAAGGAGGGAGGGCGGAGTGATTAGAATGATGATAGAAGGCGCATTCTATCTATCAGAATGGCAGTATGGAGCAGAGAGCAATGGCAAGGTCATTGTAGTGCTGCAGCGAAGTGATGGCTCCAGGCACCCAGGCAGAGGCAGTCCGTATAAGGGGGATATATTGCTAGTGGAGTCCTGGTGTGGTGCTGTGGGATAATGCATTGGACCTCAAGGTCGGTGGTTCAGGCCCACCAGCTGCTTCTGGGAAACCCTCCCTATACAGGGTTGCTATGAGAACCAACTCAACTTAACAAAAACAACAACAATGTTGCTAGTACTGCTGTAATAAAATACCACAAATTAGGTAGCCTTAATGAACAGAAATGTGTTTCCTTACACTTCTGGCGACCAGAAGTCTAAATTCTGATTATTGGCAGAATTATCCTCTGTCTGTTCTTCAGGGAAGGGTTTGTTTGTTTGTCCAGTTTCTGTAGCCCTAGGTATTCCTTGGTTTAGAGAAAAATTCTCACATGCTGTCTTCCCCGTGTGTCACTCTGTTTCTTTGTTCTTTCTTAATATAAGATAGTACTCAAGAAATCAGGACCCACCCTATTCCAACATGACCTAGTTTAATTTAACTGATAATATCTGCAAAAAAAAAAAAGCTCTCTCTCTCCAAACAAGTTCACACATATGGGTACAGGAGTTAGGATTTAAACATACCTTTTTTTTTTTTTTTCAAATTGTGAATTGAGTGAAGGTTTACAGAACAGATCATTAGTCTTACATTTAGCAAATCATATACTTTGCTTCATGACAATGATTACAATCCCCTCCTTGTATGTACCATTGGTTAACAGCAATTATCTCTATTCATTTTAACTCTTGCATTCCTCCCTGTGTCTCCTGCTACCTTAACATGTTTTTTGAAGGATACAATTCAATCCATGACTAAGTAGATATGGAAAATATTGGGGAGATAGTTAAAATCAAGGGGATTGTGTATCTGATTGGTTAGCTGTGAGGGGTGAGGCAGGGAAAGGAGTTGAGATTTCTGAGTAGGAAGTCAGATGAAACAATGGGACCCCTTACAAAGAAAGGGATTCTAGGAGGGTTAGCTTCAGGGATACCTTCAGTCTTGGAAGGTTTTGAGTTGGGCATTCTCTGGCACATCCAGGGGAAGGTCTCTAGGAAGTAGTTGACTGTATTGTTCCAGAGCTCAAGATGAGCTTGCAACTCATGTGTATGTAGAGGGTGGTGGAAACTATGGGTGTATTAGCCAAGGCCTTGGGAAATACGATGAAGAAAACGGCTGAGGACAAAGTGCTGGGAAGCAGCTTTGTTATTTCAATGGAAAATGGTGCTTGGTTTTCACGGCACACTATTTTTTTAATAGAGTAAACATTTAAAAATGGGACGATGGAACATAAAAATCTTGGATTATAGTATCTTCGGCCCCACATTTTGGTTTGGGAAGAGCCTGCAGGGCTGGAGGTGGTGCCCACAGACTATAGAGATGCATACACCCCCCTTTCACTGATAGTCACAGCCCACACTCCACCCCTGCAGCACTCCACTCCCAGGACATTCCCCATCAAGCCTCCTTAGACATTTGAATTTTCACAATGGATGAAGAGAAACCATCTCTAAAGGATATGGAGGCCAGGCTAGAGGTAGGAAAAAGCCCAGAGTGAGGGCTTCACAGATACACAGTGTCTGTGCTCTGTTAGGCAGGGTACAGTGGACACAAAACACACAACCTGCCTTCATGGAACTGCTCTGTGTGTGTGTCTGTGTATGTGTGGTGGTAGTGGGGTGACAACACACAAGTTGAGTATACTAGATACTGATACATCTTAAGGAGAAAGGAGCTCTGGTGGCACAGTGGTTAAACACTTGGCTGTTAACCAAAAGGCCAGAGGTTCAAACCCAGCTGTAGAAAAGCCTGGCAGTCAGCTTCCATTAAACCGACACCCTAGAAAACTCATCAGGACAGCTCTACTTTGTCACATGTGGTAACTCATATCACCTGACAAGAGTCACTTGAAAGAGAAAGTGAAACAGGGAAGGGTGTTGGTGGAGAGATGTAATTTTAGAGGTAGTGGTCAAAGCCAACCTTGCTCTGTTAGTTTCGTGTAACTCCTGTAACAAATGATCACAAACAAGGTGGTTAAAAAAGCACACACTTATTCTTTCATAGTTATGGAGGTCAGAAGTCCAAAATCAGCTATTTGGGGCCCACATCAAAGGATGAGCAGGGCCACAGCCTCTGGAGGCTCTGGGAGAATCGTCGTTGCCTTTCCCTGCTTCTAGAGCTGCATTCTTTGTGTCCCTTGGCTGGTGACTCTTCTTCCATCTTTAGAGCCAGCAGCATAGCATCTTGTGTCATTGTCTGATGTGGTCACACTGGCTTCGTCTTCTGGGTCCTCAGCTTCCTTTGCAGCTCTCTTATCCTAAGACTTAGGATTGCATTGAGGGCCCACCCAGAAAATCTCCCCATCTCAAGATCCTTAAT